CATAAAAAATTAAAAATTAAACTTTTTATGAGAAAATTTGATATTTTGGATTCAAAAATTTCTCTTCCTCTGTGTTAATCTGTATTTGATTTCTTTCTCTATAGACAGAGCACATAAAAAGCACGTGCCATGTTTCTCCTTTTCCAGTTTAGATTTTGTATTCAGTAGATTTAAAACCTGATTAGCTATAATAGGATTCCAGGATGTGGGCAGATGCCTACTGGTCACGGACAATAGCTCTTGCAATCAGTTCCTTCATTATTTCATTGGTACCACCATAGATTGGCTGAACTCGGGCCTCCACATAAGCTTTTGCAATCGAGTATTCCCACATGTATCCCCATCCTCTGTGGAGCTGTACACAATCATAGGCTACACTGTTCTGTAGCTCAGATGCCCAGTATTTCACCATGGAAGCAGAGGCAGAGTCCAGATGTTTCATTTCATGCAGCTGCAGACAGCTGTCCACAAAAGCTCTGGTTACACATATGTGTGTTTTTAATTTTGCTAGTTTATGCTGCACAGTCTGTATGTGTGCAACTGTTTTCCCAAAAGCTTTTCTTTGCTTAACATAGTTCCTGGTTTCTTCAAACATGAATTCACAGGTAGAAATTGCCGAATCAGCAATTAACAACCTTTCCTGTGGAAGCTCTTGCATGAGGTAATAGAAGCCTGTATTCTCTTCTCCAAGTAGGGCACTAGCTGGCAATCGGACATCTTCAAAGAATAGTTCTGCAGTATCCTGGGCTTTTAATCCCATTTTATGTAGCTTCCGTCCCTTGATAAATGCTTTCATTCCATTTTCCACCAGAAAAAGGCTAATGCCATGGGCAGGTGATCAAGCTTCACGATTTGTAACCATGACTACAATCCCAACATCACTTAACCAGCCATTAGTGATGAACACCTTACTTCCATTGAGAATCCAATCACGTCCATCTTTTTTGGCATTTTTTCTTACTCCTTGTAAGTCACTCCCAGCCCCAGGCTCTGTCATTGCTATGGCACCAATACATTTGCCTGCAGTCATCTGGGGGATGAAGTGCTTAATCTGTTCTTCTGAGCCATCGTTTGCAATATAGGGCATGACAATATCTGAATGAAGACTAAAACCTGGACCTGAACAATTTACGTAGGATTGCTCCTTCCAAACAACAGCTGCTGAGTACAAGTCACCACCAGTCCCACCATGACGTTCTGCAATGTTGACGCCAAGCAGTCCCTGTTTTCCAGCTTTTTCCCAAAGCTCCCTACTCATTTCTCCAGCTTTCTCCCATTCTGCATGATTAGGAACCACTTCTTCTTGAAAAAATTTTCTTACACTTTCCCGGAAAATGTCGTACTCCGAAGAAAAGATTCTTCTAATTCCTACATCTGTAAATCTTTTAGCAGAAGAACTTTCTAGACGTGCTGCCCCTGCAGAATGAGAACACCTCACGGCCGGCTGGCACCAGGCGCGGCAGGCGCCCAGGAGGCGTAGGGACCCACGGATGAGGCGCACAGCCGTGGCGGGACAGCGAGGGGCCGCGGGCGGGGCTGAGGGAGGTGGCTGCGCTCCAGGTTCCTCAGAGTGTCCAGGGCAGGCTGGGGGCTGGGGGGCGGGCGCCGGGGGCGGG